ATGTTTTTCAGCATTGGATACATTCTGAATGTAACAAGGGAGATTGACAACTTTTTCCCAGAGTCCTTCACTTACATGAACATCAGAGTGTACGATGTGGAAGCCACCGACCTGCTCCCCCACTGGACCGACACATACGCCTTCATCAACGCTGCAAGGTAGACCTGCACCACCAAAAGCCTGACTTGCGGAAGGCATTGCACAATCCATTATGGACTGCAGTTGTATGCAAGCACACTTCTGTCATATTTTCGTTATGAACCACATCACATAGAGATCTGCCTGATTACCAGCTGTTCATATCAAACAGTTTTATATACTTGTGACTGCTTCAGTCACAAGGTTAAATGTGTGACACACTAAATCTCACTATACTACAAGGTCATTTGTACTAATTGTCCATTATGACTGCCTGTATTGTAACACAACCCAGTACAGAACGTACTAGAAGGTGGAGCCTGCAGCCGCAGATCAGAAACATGAAACTCTGCAAATAGGGATAGTTGCATAAAGGTAGGGGGAGTGTTAGATTGTAGTACTGATACTACCCTCATTCCAGTTAGATAAATATGGAGAGAACTGGTTTAGCTTCAACACAGACTGAAAACAGCCTGGCTCTGAAACGTACTCTTAATTATCAGATCATTTCATGGCCCTGAGCAAGTATCAGGCAGCTGCACTTCACCTTTTTATATGAATTAGGGTTGATTGATATGCAAAAAAAGAAAAAAGTGCATTGCGATTATTATACCAGATAATGCGATGAGTTCATTTCAGCAGGAGTGGTAATTTTTGTGTTTCTTTTTCACTGAATATGGTGATTATGTGATATTCGATAAAGTGATATATGAATGCTAATAATGTGGTTTTCACTGTGGTTCAAGCATGTTTCCTCTTGTCTGGTAGATATAATTTGTAGCCATGGTATCTCTGTAGCATTGCAGTGCTGCATTTATAATAGCTTGTTGTGACAAATTTTACATTCATCAAAAAAATTGCAGCTCCTGTGATTTGGAAATTACAGTTGGCTATATTTAAATTTTGATAATATTTATATGTGTTGTTTCATCTTAGTATGAATAGTAAAAAAAACAACTAAATATGACACATTGGTGAGTTTCTTGGTGATTCCCCTTGTTTCTGCTCTTTATGTTGCACTGAAGGAACCTGGCTGCTGTTTGTGGCTTCATAATTATTGGACACAGATGACAGTGTTATCAGCCTTTTTATTCAGCTTTACTAGAAAATGTTGAACTATCCACTTACATACTTTGCTCCTAGATTTGCTTTACCAGCAATTTTACGGTTTTGTTGCCACACTGTGACTTGCGTTCCCTTTCAGTTTAAGCCGTGTGAATGACGTCCACAAATGTATGTTGTGTTGTGTAACATCATGACTCTGTTATCTAAACAGCAAAACAGAAAAATGCTGCTTCTGTATTTTTCAGTTGCGCTTTTCCTGAAAGAGAAGGCCAGGTTACCCTGTGGGAAAATAAATCGAAGCTGGCAGTCTTACCTGAATTTTGTCCAACTGATAAGCCAGCTGGTATTATCAGAGCTGTCATCTATTCGCAAGCTGGCAGCATTCCACTACAAAGTGTTTAAAAGAGTATTGCATGTGCAACTGTTAAGCTGGTGATCACCTCACCATGTGTGTTTCTGCAGGGTAGCAGGTCTCTTAATGTTGACTTAATTTAATGTTTGTCCACCATAACCACTGAACCACTGAGTGAGTGTTTCTTCACTTCTGTGTGCTGCAGGAAGAGTGGGCAGGCGGTGTTGGTGCACTGTAAGATGGGCGTGTCTCGTTCTGCATCCACGGTGATTGCTTACGCCATGAAGCAACAGCACTGGCCTTTGGACGTGGCGCTGCCCTATGTCAGGGATCGCCGGTCCATCGTCAAACCCAACGAGGGCTTCATGAAGCAGCTGCAGACCTACAACGGAATCCTCCAAGCGAGGTCAGGCCCAGTGCTGTTTGAAGATGTGATTTCCAATGTGACAAAGGCATTGATGACATGGAAGCTCTTATTTAAAGAAAATTCAACATGTTTTGCGTTTTTAGTCACTGGTTTGGGAGTTCATGTGAGGATTGTGTTGTCTGTTCATACGTCAATCCAGTCAGCAGCGTCACAGCGCACTCTGGAGGCGAAAGTCAAGAGACCAAAGACAAAAAACAGTCAACAACGAGGAAGGAGGGGAGGAAGGAAAGCAAGGCGAGGAAGAGGAGGAAGAAGAAGAAGAGTACGATGAGGGACTTGATGATGAGGAGGAGGACGACGTGGAGAGTCCAGATGAAAAAGATTTGGGCAATCCAGATGAAAAAAATGATTCAGAGGAAGAGCATGAGGTAATTATAGCATCGATATTTAACCTTTTGAATCCTGCAGATTTGTTTTGTGTTCAACTCTTTTATCTTCTCATATACCCCCAGGTGTTTGAAAATCCCGCCTCCAAGTCTGACACTATCCAGGGTGCGGGGCAGCTCGGTCCTGTCATCACTGTAAATGAACCAGACAAGGTGAGAAGCCTTGCAGAGCCATGTTTACTCTCTCACACACCTACAGTGCATCTGAAGCTGTTTTTCTTTTTTAAAATCTTTTTATTTGTCTGCAATCTCAAGGTTATTCCAAGCATTAACCGCAGTGGCAGGATGAACCTCTTCTCCCTCATGCAGTCCATTAGCGAACTAGATGATGAGAAAGGACACGAACAGGTAAGTGAAGTGTGAGCGGCAGTGTGTGTCACTCTCCTTACAGTTTACACAATAAAGTGAACACACAAATGGCTGATTTGGAGTTAGAGGAAATTAATTGCAGCCTGTTGTTGAAATTATCTATGTGTGTTGTTGATATTTCTGCAAATATACTTTTAAGTGCAAAAATGCAACTCACTTTCATTTTGATAGATAGTTGGTGTTATCTGTCTTCTTGCGACTGCGAACTTTTCATTGACAAATCTCACTTCAGACAAATGGATTGAGATACAGACAGACAACTCTCCATACGCATGGACAAATAGTTTTGCTACAATAATGCCCCCATACAATTAGAGCTGGGTTTGTTGATGTTAGAAAAATTTGGTGTTAGAAAGTGCTGAAAAATCAGTATTACCCAAACCTCAGTATGACGTCTTCAAATGTTTTTTACCCACAGCCCAAACATGTTCAGTTTACTGTCATGAGTCAGGAGTTGAGAAACCACAAAATGTTCAAATTTAAGAAGCTGGAGTCAGAGAACGTGTAATCACTTGATTTTTCTTTAAAAAATTACTTAATCCAATTAATCATTTATCAAACAAGTTGGGGATTATTCATGACAGCTTTAATCTCTACTATCAAAAAATCTGCTTTGTAACTGACTCTGCTACCTTTTTTTTTCTTTTCCCCCAAAGCTGCCTGGCAGTCCGAGGCGGTCTCCAGGGCAACGGAGGCGTAGCCATGGGCGACGAGGTCTCACTCACCAGAAAGCATGTGTAGATGTTTCACCTGAACCACGCAGCCTGCAGGTTGCTGGTCAAAGCAAGCCCTGAAGTGATCAAAGAGGTGGACAAGCAGCAAGCGACCTTTCAAGGAGGCACAGAGGAGAAAAGTCCTGAAGGAGACCAAACCAGAAGGAAAGTGAGCTCTGGGAACATGCCAAGGTTTTTATACACTGATACCGAAGATTTAATGTATATTTTGCAGATCTTTCATTGCATATCTCAGCTCATAATAATTGTAACTGATAAGCTGTTTTGATAAGAATCTTTCTGCAGTATTCCGATACCAGTGAAAGCCAGGATCTCTGATAGCTGAAGTCGTTATCAGTATACATTGTTGTATTATTGTGTTTGTTCCCAAGTGTTTTTACGAGAAATCTTACCACATACAAACCGGTGTGTCTCTCCAGAGCTCCCCCATTCCATCTTCCCTTCCAGAGACATCTATGCAATAACTGTCCTCTTCTACTTACCTCTGTAAATATGAGGCTGTACGCTGCCCGTCCAGTGGAAACGTTTTAAATGTTCTTCATATCCTCTTTCTGTGTCATCAGCAGCTGTTTTCACAAGATGTTCATTGTTCGCAGATGGGAGGATTTCACTGTTTCTAAGCTGTGCATTATGGACCATGTCAGGGCCAGTTTTATGGCACATGCCAAAATATGTATTCCTATGTGCCAATGCATATATTTAATTGAAAAACTTTTATCATGTCAGTATGCTAAGGACCATTGTCACCTGCTTTATTTTTGTTCATTCTAACACCAGGGCTGCATGAGTGCCTTCAACCTTAAAACGAAATACGACTCTGACTGGTGTTTTTAATGTTTTTACTACAAGGTGGTGGCCACATATTGTACTTCTCTTGTACTGTTTCTCGCGTGGTTTGATTGCATCATAAATGTGACCTCCCAAGGTTGTGCATGTATGCATATATACAGTTTATATGTATCAACATATAATTGCTGATGACCTGGGTGCATGTTTTGTGTCTTCATACCAGCCTGTGAGAGCAAACTGTTCAGGGTTTTCTCATGTATTTATACAGACATTGAATGGATCGAGGTAAATTATTCGATAGACTGTTTTCAGACTTCATTAGATGCTGATGTGGAACATTCCTAATTCATGCTGGTATTATTTTTTATCCAGTGAACCCCAAGCTAAAGCTTACTTCATTTAACCCGCATGCGCACCGTTTAAAGAAGAAAAAAAGAAAAGAAGGCGTGCACTTTATAATCCCACAACACACACTGTTCCCACTGCCTGAGCCAACTTCACGCTGTACTATGACTAAAATGATCAAATTGTTTTTTGGGTTTTTTTTTTTTAAATTGTGTCCACAACTCTATGCCTTGTTGTGTTAAGCTCTTCACTGTCTGCACCTCACTCTTGTTTACAAGCACTTTGAGTGAAAAATAAAAGATTATACTCCAACCAGCTGCTTTATTTCTTGATTAAATAACATCGAGATCAGCTTTTGTTCAGTCACACTTTATCCATAAGAGGAAAAGCACACCTTACTTTGATCAGCCCATTTTTATTCTTAATATTGTCACTTACTGTAGTGATGTTGATAGCAGTACAGTATTAATTCACGAAAGACCAGTGAGTAAGAGATACAGAGGATATTTATACAAAACAACAGATGACACTTATATTCATGTCCCAACATATTTTCTTCTGGGTTCACTCAAGATGACTCCTCCGTCTTTCATTGCAGTCCTGAAAGCCTGAATCTGCAAAGGAGGAAAGCCAGGGAGAGATAAACATGAAACAGGTGACAACTTAAGTGGGGAGAAATGACAAATATTTCTCTAACAGCCTCTGCTGCATTTACTCACTGAATCGGAGCGGTACGTCCAGGGAATCTCCCTGTACACCATCCTGGTGATGCCAGCCTGCCGGCATCGATGTGCCAGCACGTCACCTACAGCCTGACATGCTGCCACACAGTTTGTGGAATACAGCTCCTTCTTCAGCGCCCACTCTTTGGTTGAACAAGAAAGCACTGGGATAGGAGAGGTGCTGGAGAACACCTGTGCTGTCACATGGTGTTGGCTGCGAGAAAACATCAACCTGAAAAACGAAACAAACACAGTAAAACACAAGCACCCGAGGCAGTAGGAGTTCTGTGCGAGGAAAGGAAATAAATATAATTTAGCTTAGCCTAGTAAAGATGTCCTACAATATTTAAGTATTCAGAACTTTTCTTTCTGAACTCTTTCTGATTCATGACTTTAGTGCTTTGGTTACACTGAAAGTCATTACTGCAGGAGTTTTCTCGTGACTTACTTCTGGAAAATTAAAACACTAATGAAATTGGAATTTACTGTTTGAAAGTCTGATGTGATGGAAAGATGACAAAATGCATAATTTAACATAACAGCTATTACGATGCAGTCATGTGTGGCGAAAAAGGGGGGTTGACTTTGATAAACAAATATAATAAAATATCCCAATATTTTACGTGCAAATCAAAGTCAATTTTTTTTAATAAGGCATATCTAAAAATGAGAAGTCTGTGACAGTGCTGTAAAATGAAAAAAGTAAACCATTTACTTGAAGTCAAGCATGACTACAGGAAGCTGCTATCAGAGAATTCAGATTTTTTTTTTCTTTAAAAACTACTCAGAGTGATTAATCAGTTATCAAACTAGTTGACAATCTTTAAATTGTTGCAGCTTCTACAAAAGATTCACAGAGTGACGTGTTAGCGAAAGAGCTAAACAGCATAAGTACATCATGTTTTTGACCCAAAATATAGGTCAAATGAGTGGGATTCATTTTATAAGCATTTTTTTCAACATCAGACTGTGAAGAGGCTATTAGGGACAACAATTGCTGTTTATTCTGGCTTTCTCATTTTGGATAACTTATGTGGAAAACATCTCTATACACAGAAGTAGCCTTCTCACTGGTAGCAAAGTCTGCAAGCTGGTAACAGTATGAGGCTCAATAATAGAATTCTTGCAGAAAGAGTGAAAAAAATGTGATTAAAAAGTGTCCGAATGTGCTTCTCACAGGAGCTATGTTTGTATTAGCAACAGTGTGGTATCTAAAGTGGGAAGGACCTCAACTTTTTAAAGAAGAGTTGGTTATGAAAATATACACTGTAGTACAATAATTCACTACTCTTGCTTTGTGCCCTCTTTTCACATCCTCCAATGACTTGCGCTGTCAAAATATATTCTTTTTTTTTTATATAGAAAAGATCATTTAGGGTTCTGTGTACTGTCACCTACTGTCGTATTGCTTTTGCTGATGTTTTGGGTTTTTGCTGTGACATCGTTCCGGTATCGAACTATTTCAGCAGGTACAGTATCGAAGTCACATTTCTGGTGTGGTGACAACACTACAGACCTGTGGTGGAACTCCCGGTGGGGCCAGTTGGTCTTCCAGCCCCGGTCCTTTACAGCCAGGGCCATCTGCTCCAGGTTCCGGGGGTTTCTGTTCTCAAAGGTCGGGTTCACGGCTTCATTTTCATCCGCGCTGGGCTCCGGCTGGGACGCTGCCTGACTCCTACACCGAGCTGGAAGACAGACATGAAACACTGACTGGTCGGTTTATTATTGTTTGGCTCAAAAATTAAACTGGTTAACGCAGTCTACCCGTTAAAACACCGTCAACAGTTAGCTAACCTACCAGTGGTTGCAGCCACAACTGGAGGACATCGTTGAGTTTGACCGAACAACAGCCGCAAACTGCGACTAATTCCTCTCTGAGCCATCTCCTCCTCAGCTGTTCTCCCTCACGAACTAAAACAAAAGTCCAGTCAAGGTGTTGTTACGTGGTTATGTCCTCAAAAATATTCCGACATGCTTCTTTCGCTCCAAGTACTTAAGGAGAATTCACCGTTACATGAGGAGCGCCATCTTTGACATTCGAATAATATCCGGTTCACTTGGTGCTACTTCAGAAGCAGTCCTGACAGAAACAGACGCCGCGTATAATGTTCCGCTTCATACTGCATGAAGGATAAAAACATTTGCTTCACTTTTTATTCTTTTATTCGTTTATACTATAGTAACTCGCAGCAGTGGAAAATAACTACATAGATTTTTTTTATTTTTTTCAAAAGCCCTTTCCTTGGGAACATTTTGAGGTACTTGTATGTTATTATTTTACTTCGATACTTATGCTTTGCTGTTTCACAAATACTTTTAACTCCACTGCCTTTATCTGACAGCAACTAGTAGTTTTGCAGGTTAAAATTTTACCATGTAAGGTAATCATCTTTAAAAAATATGATAAATTAGGTATTAGAGATTAACATTCAACAATGCTAATAGTAGTAAACATTTGCTCTTCGTTGTTCAGCTAAATTAAAATCATGGTTACATGGATGTGAATGAATCAGTAATATATTCTGATAATGTAAGATACACTTTGCTTAGTAGGTGCTACTACTTTCCATATGTACAGAATTACAGAGTAAGATATTGAAAGTGGGACGACTTGTAATGATATCCAGTTTCATTGTGGTATTTACTCCCTATACGATACAAATAAATGCTTTGAATCCTTCCATTGTTCACCTGATATGCAGTCATTTTTATGAACAGTGTGGATGTACAATCAGAAAGGTGGTCTTTTGAGTAAATTACATCACATAATAAGATTCAACAAGAAAATTCTATTTAATTTCAGTTCAAATTTGAAAAATGTTACAGTGTAAACTGGCAGGGAAAAATGAGACAGATGTCCTATGCAGTTTTGTACAAAGTAGTTTCATGATGATAGAAGTTATGATCTGTCCGAATATATAATGCATGAACAAACAGACCTAGTAAGGCACCAGAAAAAAAATACTAAATACCAATAAATACATGTGGCATGATGTGCTTGGAAGACATGACAATGAGGGAAAGTATCTTTGGCTCATAAAAATCATTCAGATCATTTCCTGCTATCATTTCGACAATCTGCAGGACTGGCTTGCAAAAAAATCAAGTCAACAATTGTACATTCCCTTAAACTGCAGAAAAGATCCACTAATTGAATTACTTTCCCTTTTCAGAATAGATGTTTATAATAAATGTTTATTTGTTGAGAAGTTAATCATTGCCAATTATTTCTTGAGCTACAGAAAGAGTAATTAGAAAGCAGTACGTAACACTGAGTAAAAAATTAGCAAGGGGATACAAAAGTATATTTTTTTCCTATCATATGATGCAATTTTCATTCATTACACAGGGACTAATTCTACTGACGCAAAAATAACAGTCTGTATCATTCATTATGATCATTGTGCAAGTTAATTAAACCATTTCATAGCCTTCAGGCAACAGAATACCATTGTTAAGACAGGGCCATTCTGAAGCACACAGACACAATTAATTTAACCATTTGGCAATCATTTGACTGATCACATAGCAGCTGAGGCATTGATGAGAGATGAGAAGGAGAAAGGGTTGAGTTTGTAGCCTGTTCCGCTGTAGAACTTGTTCTGAAACTCCACCCTGTAAGAAAGACAAGCGAAAATCAACATACCACAAATACAAGCTTCAATAAATAGTACATGTTCTGCATTTATGAACCACATTTTAACCTTTGCTAGGTTCTACAAACTGCTTTATTATGTGATTGATTCATTCATTTACACACACAGCACATGACTGAAGAGCTGCCGTGTAAAGTGTTGCCTGCCATCTAGAGCAACTTAAGGTGCAAGTGTCCTGCCTGAGAAAACTCCAGGACATGAAGGAGCTGCGGATTAAACCACCCACTTTGCAAATAGTGAACAACCTGCTCTCAAACCCATCTCATGTCGTCTACAATCGACATGAAGCTGAAAATGTTTTCTGCTAATGCCACTGTTAGGGCTAATGTTGACCAGTGTTTTATTCACAAAAACGTTCACATGGTTGTTCATGGTCTCCAAAAGCAAAGTTTGGTGGAGCTTTTTTGCTTCAGAGAAAAACCAAATAAAATGACACTTATTTGTAAGAAATGACAAAATATAATGACTATACTGAAATGAGATGTACTAAGCACATTCATGCAACCTACTGTAGATTATGTGCCTCTTTTCAACAACGCCCTCAAGCAAAAAATGCCAACTTTGTGTGCTAGATAGATAACAGATTGCCATACAGTTTATTGAGCAGATTCAATACCTGCATCACATTTGTCAGGCGACAAACAGTAAATAGAGTGCAATATGTACACCAATGTAAAAATACATGAGACCTGACTGAGGAAATGATGTGGAAGATCACTTTGCCTATGGGAATAGTTTCATTACAAAAAACCTTTTAAATATGTAACGTGAGAGGAAGTTTAACTGGATAATTTGATAACAAAAATGTACAGCCGCCTAAAATCTGAAACATAGAGGCAACTTATACAAACTTTTCAACATGTCAATCACGCAAAGGTTTTGTTTTTTTTTTCTTTTCCCCTTTGTCTTCTCCTTCCACTCATCCTTACCAGTGCAGACGGAGCGCGTGCAGGAAAGCTGAGAGTCCCTCCATAACCAGGAGGATGGAGACGGTCAACACGGCAAAGAAGGCGAAAACCACAAAAAGGACTACAGCTCCCACATAGCCCTCCCACTTCAGCGCAATACGCATGACCATCACCCACAGCACCTCGGACAGCTCTGTGGAGACACAAATAGCTCACCGTCAGAGAACCATAATTAGCTGGGAAATATATCATGAGTGTATGACTGGAAAAATAACAGCATGAGTAAGTTTAGTTCTAGAGAGGAAGTCTTGTGTGTGTGTATCATGTGAGTATAAAGATACACATTGTGTCTGTGTGCCACTAACGTGCGTGTGCCAAGCTGAGAGCCCAGAGTCGGAGGTAGGAGGCCGTGTTGGAAATGCAGCCCAAGCAGTACTCTATGGTGTGGATGGCCTGATGCATGTACACATCTGCTGCATCAAACTCCTACAGACAGCACAGTTAGAAACATTAGACAAGAAACACAAATTTGCATCTCATGTAATCTGTTTGATAAATGAAGTTAAAATTGCTCCTTTTTTACCTCCCCTTCAGCAGCTGCTCCTTCCACCTCCCCCTGGCGAGTGTTGATTGAGCCCTCGTCGTTCACCAGGAGACGACTGTCTTCCTCCACAATGAACATCGGACGTCGTCTTATCTTGAACATGATGAGTTCAAACGTAGGCTTCCCCAGGAGGAGGACCGGCACAGAACACAGAGCCAGCACCACCAGGATCTTCTGCAGCAAGATCTGCATGTGACGAGTTACAGGAAAGGAAAGGTATGTAAGAGGACAATACTCTTGTTTTTGGAAGTTTTTTATTTCAAATGAGTACAGTATGGAAATGAGCTTGCAGAGACTGTCTGTAGGTTTAAGAGTAGTCCGCCAAATAGTATTGCACGTACATGCTATATTGTCAGAAAATAAAACCCAAAGCAAATGCTAAACAGGTAATTATAAAGAAAACTCTAAAGCTTAATGTTTTAATAAAATACTTGTACTCAGCAACTATCAAATAAACTATACAAAAGTTAATGCAGACTAAATGTTCAGTGTGGTTGCTTCCTTGTCACAACCAGGTTACAAGCATTTTCAAAGTGATTTTCATGTTGCACTAACAAAAAGTGGCAAGTGGGAAAATGCATTCATCATTACAAAACCCATGGCATACTTAACATGTACAAGCAAATCACAGAATGTGAGTTGAAACCCTGATAGTTCTGTTTTAAGGGAAAAAAAGTAAACTACCTACCTGTCCTTTAAAAAGCGGTGGGTTGTCGGCGTTTTCTGTGAAGAGGAACATGTCTATGAAGTGGATAAGTATACTGGGAGCCATTTTGGACTGGGCAGGGGTGTAGGCAATCCACTTATAGACCACCATGAACACAAGGTAGCCAAACAGAGACACCATGAAGAACAGCTCTGGGATCAGCACAAAGAACACGCTGCTAAACTTTCTAAAGTGCCTGGAGAAAACAACAACACAGGGAAACAGACAGGGAAACAAGGATACATGAAGGCAAGTGTGAATAAATATGAAATGAATAAATACGGGAAGTGTAGACATAAAAATATAAAACACGATTACTTACCAATAGTTGAAAAATGACAAGGTGACTCCAAAAGTCATGTGAATAATCCCAATGATGACGGACATCTTCATCTTGTACGAGTTCAGGAAAGTTAGTTTGTTGTTGGCCATTCCCCAAACCTGCAACAACGCAAGAAAGAATGAAGAGAGCGGTCTTGTTTATTCTTGACTGAAAGTAATCGAGTGTGTTGGACATACCGGGTCAATGCCAAATGGATAGGGGCTGTTAAAAACGCCGGACACAACAGGATCCATGGACAAGTACTGGTTCCCAGCCAGCACTGATGCACTGAAAGATATACCACAAAAGTAAGAAAGTGAGTGGACGCTGGAGGGAAAAACAGGAATCATTTGGAGGTTGATTCTATGAAATGTCCTCACTTCCATATATTCTTTTGAAACATCGGTCCGACGTGCCACGCTGAGTTGAAGGTACTGAGGCCTCTGCTGAAGCACTCGTTGTAAATAGCCCCCGTGTAGATAGAGAACAGACCCATCAGCAGAATCAAATACCTTCCTCCAAACATCATCCTCCAGATCTGAAACACAGAGGCAGGACACGCTTTTCAGTATTCAGAGTACAAGTAGAGGCGTCTTACATGCTTTCACTCCTGAAGAAAACTGCTATGTTCGGAAATGTTTGTTTCTCAGCTATGCAACTTTTCACTGATCCGTGAAATGTCATTATGGATGAGCATGAATGGCAACTAGATAAGTCCTAATTACTCTCAATTCAATTTATCTAATGCGCCTGTGGGATATGTAGAAGAATGTTTTTTGGTGACGTGCACATAAATAGGTTGCATGTGATGGTCTGTGCAAAGCTTCTCTTAATCAAATGAAAAGCGGGTAAGACGGCAGTCTTTTTAGCTCAACTCTAACGTTTGTCTCTGATTGCTGCTTCCATTTTTGATGGAAGTAAATAAAGAAATTCATATGTTTATTCAATCTCCATTCCTCTTTATTGTAAACAAATCACAATGTACAACCTTTTAAGCTGCCTTTAGCAAAAAAGTTAGCGTGTATAATTAATGCAAACATAATTCCTGTTTTTGTCAAATGTTGAGCTTTTGTTTTAGTTTTAACTTCAAATATTTAAGGATAAATGTAGCAATTTTCTATACTTGTTTTCTTGTAGTCAAGAAACCCCATGAAAAGCCCAAAACCAACAATAAAGGGATGCTACGAACACAACAAGTATAAAACATTTATTTTAGTCTTCTTTGCCATAGAGTTCCATTGGTTTTCTTTATATATAACCCATAACAGGGTCCTAATGTTGTAATGGGCGACTTGTTTCTTCACTATGAAATGTATGGGCATTATAGTTTATCTAGAAACAGCTCCACGGACTAATAACAGTGATAACTTTCACATCTCTAGAAAGTAGTATAGTCAGTGTGAAAAACTGTTGTGTTTTTAAATCATTTTTGGACAACAGCCGGGCTCTGTGGCACAAAGGAATGAGGTAAATCTACCTTTAGATATGCACACTTTACCTTTTAGTCAGATCTATTCATTGCTGATTTTAGACTTTTTGTGGATTTAAGAAAAATCTGGAAAATCACTAAAGCTGTCCTTTAAGTTACACATTTAGTAATTTAACATCATAAAAAATATTGAAAATTACCTCATTGGTGCTGTTTTTAAGTTTTGGATCCCTTTCCTCAAGGACCATCCAAAGGCCCGCCAGAGTCATCAGCAGTCCGTGACCCACATCCCCGAACATCACCGCAAACAGGAAGGGGAACGTGATTATGGTGTACACCGCTGTAGAGGCATCGAGAGACAAATACATGCAAGTATTCTTTGGGCTCAGCTTTGAATAGATCTATCATGCCAAACATTCAAGAGAAAATCATTTTTGCGGTGTGATGACGTACCTGGATTGACTTCACGGTAGCTGGCCACTCCATAGGCATCAACAATGTTCTGGAAACCTGCTGTGAAGGAGTTGAGGGGAAACAGAGTAGGTGGAGGAGTGGAGGAAGGCAGACGGTTGTAGAAAGAGTCAACCCCACTTCCGCTCTTCCTCTGAGGATGGAGAAGTTTGGATAAAAACGGAGAGCAAGTTAGTCATTAATGTAAAGTCTCCTGGTCTACGGCTCCACGATTCTGCTGTCAGATCATCTCACCCCTCCTTCTCTCAGAGCACTCTGCAGTTCAGGCAGCTTGGCAGTCGGACACCAGGCCTCAGCGATCAGGCATTTGTCTGTGACTGAAGGGCTGCAGAGATTCAGAACCATCTGGATCGCCTTGCACTTCTGGACTCGTACCTTCCACTGAGGCAGAATAGCCACTGCATTCAGCAACAGCTGCTGCAAGAAGGTCTCAGTCTGTGACAACACCTGGAGTACAAGAGAGGGAAGTGAAAGGAGAGAGATGTGGAACAAGTGAAGTAATATTTTATTCTTCTGAATCCACATTACTGCAACATTACTTGTATTTCTGAAGCATTTCAAACAAAAGAGGGTAAAAGCTTGTAATTGTGTCAAAGTATCAACCAAAAGTCACACTTTTATGAAGAGGTAATACACTCACTGATTTGATATCTTCAATTCTACCTTGAAGTCCCTGGAGAATCTCCTCTCTCTCAGCAGAGCTCTCAGGGTATGCAAACGTCTGCGTGCGGAAGCTGTTAATGGAAGGGGGGGGGAATCAAAAGAAATTTAGGTTCAATAGACAGCAGTGTGTAAATCTACAAACAGAAAACTTTTTTTTTGTTTGTTTTAAATTTGACCTTTATTTTACCAGGTAAAAATGTTTGAAAACCAGTTCTCATTTGCAAACATGACCTGGCCAAGAGGTGCCAGCAGGAACAGATACACATGTAAATTACAGACACAAATAGACACATAAACATAACATAGAACAAAAATAAACATAGGCATGTGAGTGAAAAAAAGATGTGCATGAGGTGTAAGAAAGCGTGTGTGTATATACAAGTATGTAAGTAAAGTCCGGTGTGATCAGCAGGAGCGACAGTCAACTACAATCTTTTTGATTTTAAGCTTGAAGGTGGTGAGTGGAGTCAGAGTTGCACGTTTGAGAGTGTTTTGTAAGGTGTTCCAGTCGGTAGCTGCTGCAAAGCAAAAGGAGTTACGGCCAAAAATAGTAGAGGTATTGGGGATGATGAGCTTGATGTATTCACTAGACCTAGTACGATAAAAATTATGGGTGACATGAAGAAGAGAGGACAGAAACTGATGCACAGATTTCCTCACCAGTCACATATCTTCTTGACTTTCTGTCCGATCTGTTCTCCCCAGTAGGAAATGAGGAACACCGTCCACTGCACCATTTCCCCCTGCAAACACAGAAACAGTAAACAGCTGTGATAGAATACTCACAGTAAAACTCTTAACATGTCACAAATCATCAGAGACAATCTCCGAACTACAAATGACTCTCATTTCTGCCTTTTAATTATAATCCAGTCTCTCCGTCTCTGAGCTCCCACCGTGTCTGGGTGCTCGAGTCGATCCTCCATTTCTCTAAAATCCACGATAATATAACCGCGACACGCCCGCCATAACAACCGCTCAAATGAGGGGACTTTCCAAGGATGGACCACTCCGGCAACAAAACTGAAAGAGAAGAAAGGGAAAATGTGTCGAATGGAAATGAAAAGATAGAACACTTTTAGAGAAATGCTGGTAACTGAGATCTACCTGAGGTGGACATCTTGGCGGTTATCAAACAGGCCTTGGCTTTCCAGCACATGCGGAGGTGCCTGAGGGAATGACACGAAAGATTTTATTGTAGTGTGTTTTCTACAGAACAGTAATAAAAATGAAAAGCTGATAATGATAAAGGAACTGCCGCAGAAGTTTATTTTTTAACCACCTGTGAGGCTGTGAGAGAGTGTGTTCTGGTCAGGACGCCTCGGTACTGACATAGCTGAGTCAGCTGAGCCCGAAGACTGTCTCTGTTCCTGGACACCTAGTGAGAAACACACACATACGACCTCGCGTCAATCCAAACAGTTCATCCTTCTCTAATGGTGCATTAGGCGGAGAGGAAGAATGCTTTGATTTATCATTACGGTCTTGTTTTAGGTGCTCACCTCTTTGAGCTCTCTGGCTAGCTTTTCGCTCTCCTCCTCTATGGTGATGAGCTCACGGGGCTGAGGGGCCGAAGGTGTTGGGACTGGAGGAGGGAGGGAACCCTGCAAGGGTGGAGACAGGGAGCGATTGATCTCCTGCTCCAGGAAGGCTGAAGGGCAAATAAAGAAGGTCAGATGAGGATCATAACAAAACTAACAAATACAGAACTTGCCTGTGGGAAACAATGAATCAAGACTCACTAAAAGTTTTCTCGAGTTCCTCACATCTTCTGACTTCTCCGACGAACTTCCTCTGAAAGGCGTTCACATTCGGATTTAACTGAAACATTGGAGGACAGGGGAGGGGAAGAGGGCAACAAGGTTACTCATGTTCATCTGATTAGAAGACAGGAAGGAAAATGTTGCTGTATCTAACTGACACAACTCAGACACGCAGAGGCTGCAGATTCCAACAAACAAGACAACCACACTCAGGTGTCAATAGATCAACAGCGATGATATGAGCTAAAACCCATAAAAATAAAGTTGAAATTAACCCATCACTTGCAAGTCTAGTATTTTAGGTAAAAACAGTGGCAAAATAAATACACACAGAAAAGAATTCTGGCCAAAAGCAGTAGCTAATAATCTCCTCAGTTTGTATTTCGTGAGCTTTGCACCACAAGACAATGAATCAAGAGTAAAAACAAAAGTTTAGGTAACTCACGTCTCTGAATTCAACCAAGCCCAGTTCTCCCAGCTCACTGACACAATTGTAAGCCGAACCGGACTGAAGGAAGAGCTGCACCAGGCACACCTCCTCGCTGCGAAACATGGAGCCCATAGCTGCTTGCACAACATCAAAGAAACAAGTGCAAATTAAGACTTTTCTCTTGAAAACTGACAGCTGAGCCAAAGAGCTGCAGCTTATAGTGAAATGAGAGATGCTGGTGAGAAAATGTAAAACAGAGAGGCAGTAAATAGAAAAAAAAAATGTCGACAGGTGGCATCTATTTTCAGTTGGGACACGAAAAACTGCAGAAGTTTATTAGTGGAAACTGAAGAAAGGGGAACCGCTGAGTCGAGTCCTCCTGACTGTGATGATAAGGTGGGATTTCCATTCTTGCACAGACGTGTTTCTACCAGTATTACAAGAGCAGAGTTTTTATTTTTTTCAGTTGTGAGCAAAATCCTTTAACAATAGCTTTACAAAAAAGTACAGAAGTAGAATAAACTGTCAGTTGCCAGTTGATTTCTTTCACCCAGCTAAAACTGAAGCAGTCAGACAAAGTTGGTTACAATGGACAATATATTTTTTTAAAAACACAACCGTTAAACGCAGGTTCCCTTTATGTTAATTTTGTAGAGTGATTTGTGGTGCTGTTGAACAGTGCTGCATTATCATCAGACTAACCTCAGTGATACAAATGAGACAGACACGCTACAAGAGACAGCAGCCAAAATGACCATGACTCTGTATAAACACCTCTCTAAAACAGTTTCATCATAAACTGAACATTATGACCTTTATATAGGTCGTAGCTTTTGCAGTGTCAGGGTGCACCTGCTTTTAGTGAGGCATAGGCAGTGGCGTGGTTTGGTCTCGGCATCTGGGCTCTAGCTCCAGATCCCAGTGTTTTGGTTTGGTTTTTACAACAATTAAAAAAATATATTCTGCATCTCTTCATCTGTCATTCTGATCCTGCATTAAAGCTCTAGAAAACAAAATAGTTCACTAGTGACGTTAGGATCTTATTTTATTGTTTAAAAAAGTCTGTTTACTGAGGTCAAAACATTTTTCTGTCATGTCAAGTGTTTATTTCCAGAGTAGTTTATTTTTTGGTTTCTCACAGCAGGATATTTGCAGCATTGACAGTAGTATTTGTATGGACTTTTCCCATTATTACATATAGCATGTGACCTCTCTAATCATTAAATTAACAAGAAAAAAATAATGACAACAGGTAGTCTGGTATCAGCGAAAAACACAGTTAAACTATTATTAGACTATGGACAGAAATTTCCAAGTTTTTTTTTTTTTTTTTTTGTCAGATACACAGACTTTATGGGTGAACCTCTTCCCCTCACCAGAACCTGTCATCTCTCCTCCTGGACTATTTAGAGTGAATTACGAAAATCACAACTGAATAAAATGTATGAAAACAGGTATTACCAATTACAGATGAGTCAAGCAGAAAAAAAGACTAATTATAAGGCACACTGGTCTAGCAGCCTGCACTGTGTGTGATCTCAATCTGGCACACGGCCAAAGCACAGAAAGAAAATAGGTGGACCTTTCTTTGCCAGTGTCTCACATTCCATTTTCATTTTAGCCTGACATAACTTGAAAATGCTGCAGTTAACAGGTTTGTAACCACAGAGACTATATGTGCAGTCTGCTGGTGTTCCTAATAACCTGACAACTGATAGTATGTACTGGAAATGAGTCATGACTTGGAACTTGACTCGACATTATAACTAGAAACACGTCAATGGACAGTGAGTCCAGATAGTAAATACAGAAAATAACTGTTTGTTTTCTTGTATGTATAATGACCTCCATACTGCCTCTGTCAACATTTCATAGTCACACTGGAGTGAGTCAGAGTTTCGTTTTAACTGAAACAACGTGCTGGAAAAGCAAAAGGTGGTCGAACGAAAGGTCTACACGTTAGAATAAAAATATACTTTCAGCGATATATCTGTGAGGAAAAGCAGCGCAAGGTTTTGATTTGTCCCATGACACTAGCGGTGACTGAAGAGAGCCACAACAGCGCAAACACAACAAGCACACAACCCAGCTCAACAGTGGATATCCGACCTGGCTGCCTCCTTTAATCCCGCTGGACTCCGCCGCTCTGTGCTTCAGGCTGTCCGGCTCCGTACCGACAGGCTGCCCGGTGACCGTTTTACCGGGAGGACCAAGACGTGTTTGTGGGGTTAACGAGAAGTTCTGCCGTCTCGTCTCGCACTTCCCGTTTGCCAAAGTCACGTTACTGCGGACTCACGTGACAGCGGACGTTAGTCTCCCGTTTGGCCGCGAGAGGTCGAGATTTGCGCTAATTTAAACGGCGCAGACGGTAGTTTAGCGGGTCTGAGGAGGAATGTAACGGCACCGAAGAGTTCTGTTTAATTTTTTCACGGTTTTAGTAACATTTTGTGCCAAACATCTCTTTTTATCTGAGTTTTAATTTCTTTATTTTTATTGTCATAAAATTTTAGCTTGATTTTATTGCTTAAATTCTGTTTTATTTCTAGGATTTTAAGGCATGCTTTTAATGTCTACCTTTTAAATCATCTTTGTAATTAATTTAATTGCCATTGTAAAGCACTTTGAATTGCCTTGTTCATGAATTGTGCTGTATAAATAAACGTGCCAAATATGGCGCTTCTAGATTGGTAAACAATGGTTGCTAGGCGACACACAGTATCATGATTAATATCGGGCTGCCATTTAACTTCCGGTAACAGTATATAATAATCATTTTTTAAAAAAGCTTTATTTGTGTAGCACTTTTTCAGACAAGTAAATAGCAACCTAAGCAATACAATAAAACAAAATAAAATAATAATGTCAAGTTGTTGGGAACAAATTCAAGGCAACAGCATTAAAAAAAAGTATAAATGGCGTTACAAAACTAACCCATCAAGTGTTAATTATTGGGTCAAGACCTTGCTGTCATTGATGGTGTGATAATACCTGTAATGTATATATGACAACAATAATAATTAGAATACTAATACGACTAATTTAATGTTAAAGCTAAGACCATATGGTATAATAAATATGACCCTATGTAAATGTGAGGAATGAGAGAATATTCTCACTCCTGCTTCGTTTGTACACCAAGAAATTTTTTTTTGCCAGAATAAAAACAATGCTACTAAATTTACATATTTTCTGATTAAAAACACCATTGCCATTCATTTCCAGACCATATGTGGGCCATTCTAACGAACTGGTTCAAATTGTAGTCCCATACTAAAAAACACATTTTAAAATACAATTTAATATTCAGACCCTTGATGATTCTTAACGTAATGTTATAATCTAGCCAATCCAAAAGCATGAGTTAAGATAGCATTAAATTAAGTATATAAAATGTTGTCCTTTTTATATGACTTTGTATTGAGAAGTGGATGTCCCAACCTCTAACACCTACATTTCAATGGATGAATATATTATCTCAAGGATTTTTTACATTTTTCAAAGGCTGTATTTTATGTATCTTTTTGACATATTTTAAAGGGAGACTGAAATATTAAAATAGATTTTATTTTATTTTTTTTTTGGTGAATTCAACAAGGGCTGCAAGGTGGCACAGTTGGTGAGCACTGTTGCCTCGCAGCGAGAAGGTCGCCGGTTCGCGTCTTGGTGGGGGCACCGGGATCTGCGTGGAGTTTGCATGTTCTCCCCGTGCAGCGTGGGTTCTCTCCGGGTTCTCCGGCTTCCTCCCACAAGTCCAAAAACATGTTGAGGTTAATTGTCCGTAGGTGTGAATGTGAGTGTGCTTGGTTGTCTGTCTCTAAGTGTAGCCCTGTGATAGACTGGACTTCCATCTAATGGAAACAAAACTCAGAATTGACCAGTGCATGCAAAAGTGTGCCTGCGGTGTCTTCCTTTAAGTAAAGTACTAATTCCACACTGTAAAACTGCTGTTACAAGTCAAAGTCCTGCTTTTACAATGCCACTGTACAGTGGGTATTATATCACAAAAACTTACTTAAAGTATTACAGGTGCTCAATGCTGAAAAATCCTTGTTCGACTACTATGTATCATTAAATTGTTATTACTCAGGCATTCATGTAAAACCAAGAATTTATTTTAATTGGTTAAAGTGTAACTTATAAACCATTTAGTATAGAACTAGAGCTGATGAGTGATGTTCTGTGTGCAAAAAAAAATCTTTTTAAAAAAAAGTAACTATAGCTGTCAGACAGAAGAGCCCAGAACAACTTCTAAAGGCATTAAAGGTGAACTCCAAGGTCAAGGTACATCAGTGTCAGATCGCACCATCCGTTGTTGTTTGAGCCAAAGTGGACTTCATGGGAGACGACCAAGCAGTACACCATTGTTGAAAACAAATCATAAAAAAGCCAGACTGGAATTTCCCAAACTGCATGTAGACAAGACACAAAGCTTCTGGGAGAATGTCCTATGGACAGACAAGACAAAACTGGAACTTTTTGGCAAGGCACATCAGCTCTATGTTCACAGACACAGAAAAGAACACTGTCCCTACTGTGAAACATGGAGGAGGCTCTGTTATGTTCTGGGGCTGCTTTGCTGCATCTGGCACAGGGTGTCTTGAATCTGTGCAGGGTACAATGAAATCTCAAGACTATCAAGGTATTCTAGAGAGAAATGTGTTGCCCAGTGTCAGAAAGCTTGGTCTCAGTCGCAGGTCTTGCAACAGGATAATGACCCAAAACACACAGCTAAAAACATGGGTAGAGGAAAACACTGGACTATTCTGAAGTGGCCTTCTACAAGCCCTGATCTAAATCCTATGTTACATCTGTGGAAGGAGCCGAAGGCACCCTTCAAACCTGAGACAACTGCAGCAGTCTGCTCATGAGGAATGGGCCACAATACCTGCTGAGAGGTGCACAATTCTCACTGACAATCGTTTGATTGCAGTGATTGCCTGAAAAGGTTGTGCAACAAAATATTAAGTTAAGGGTACCATCATTTTTGTCCAGGCCTGTTTCATGAGTTTATTTTTTTTTTAAATAATTTTGTTAAAACACGGTTCAAAAGCAATGTCTGATTTTCATGGGTTAATTTTCACTGAATTTGTATTATTTTTGTCAGATTTAAGTTATTTCTGTGACCTTTGTGGGTTTTTCTTTCATTAACCAAGGGGTACCAACAATTTTGTCCACGTGTGTAATTCATTCTGCACAAAGAATCTCAAACACCAGGGTGAAGTAGCAATAACCAAAAGACATTTGGGTGTACTTTCTAATTCAATACCACATTACTATCTCAGGGCATCTCTTCCAGCTTTTGGCTAATAAGCACTTTGTGATAAACTTTAAATTTGTGCAACCTAGTAAAATGTTTTTAAAATGAAAGAGAAATATGTTCAAAGGAATCCAAGAAATAGTTACTGGTGCTTGTATGGCAATACAAAAGATATTTTATTTTATTGTAAAAGGGCAGAGGTGCAACAGGTAAAACGGCAAGTAATGGGAAATATACAATTGTAAAAAAGCAAAAAAAAAAATGTCAAGTGGAACAAATAAAACAGGAAATGAAACAAAGGGAAAGTTAAACATGACTAAATTTTTCACAGAAGTACATGAATCTCATACACCTGCTCATCTTCCACTTTACATCACTACAGCTGTATTGTAATCTTACCCTAAAATATTGTCATGAAGCTGCTCTAAATTAAGAGGCAAAGTAGATCATCATCAATTATAGTTTCTGACTGTGTACATTTCAGAGATGTATCACAAACAACTTCTGAACCCAACCCACACACACACAAAAAGAAGATACTACAGTAAAATCATAATTTCTGGCAAATAGGACAGGAACTTGACACTGGCATTGCAGCTCATATCACATCGTTTAGATTTCAAACGTACAAAGCCAACAAACATGTTATATTAACCATGCTGCTGTGGTTCATTGGATTTCTTCCCTGGACACGAGGACTAACACACTAAAAGAAGCAAAGTTAGCAGTGATTTTTTTTTCTTTTTTTTCTAAAAATGACGGCCAGGATGGTGACTGCTCAGACATAGAGATCATTCTACACTCCTCTCATACTGAATGTATTCCTTTCTACAAACTGTAAAATTTGAGACTTCTATCCATTCCTGCAGAGGTCAGGAACTGAGCATTCTCTCCAAAGGCCACTCCGGTCACCAATCCTGAATGGTCTACAATTTCAAAAGGAAAAAAAAAAAAAAAGAGTCAAGGTCAAAAAAAGTCTGCTGTTTCCTCACAGTTAAAGCTTTGTCGTCTACGTACTCAGTGAACATTTGTGAAAAGATTGATTCTTTATTTTCCTCACCTGTGAAGTTGAGGACCTCCGACCACTGCTTGCAGATGTAGACGCGGATGTCAGACCCTCCTACTGCCAGGTAGGTACCACTCTGATCAAACACCAGGGACTTCACCTAAATCACAAAACCGACCAATAAGATTCAGAAGCACCGAGGAAGGAAGACGGCACGATTATTCCATTGTTACAACAGACTCTGTGTTATGTTTATTCACTTTCCTGTCAAGAGAGTTGAAGGAGAAAGCTGGTAGTTTTCAAATAACTATATGGTAGATGTGAAACTAGAGACAGAAGGTTAGTATAACAGCTTAGCTCTGAATAAAGACAGTGAGCTGTAGGAAATAGCTAACCTGGTCTCTTGAAAATTAAACCAATCTAACTCTCTGCACCTTGACATTTAATAATAAACACGTGTATCATGTTTGATTGATCCAGATATAAACAGAAATGTAGAACATTAAGTACAGTTAAGCACTGCTGGAATCCAGGATGAAGAAGCAGCCTCCATTCTCTGCGCTAAGTTCCCAGCCTGCTGGCTAAAGCATCTTTTTCAGTGTACTGACATGAGCGCTGTATTGTCTTTTCATCCAGCTCTATGCAGCAAAAACGTTTCTCCAAAAGCCAAACTAATCCTTTACTAGAAAGAAAAAAGAAAAAAAAAAAAGGGCCAATTTTTTTTACCTCATAGTTGTTGTCCAGAGTGATGGTCTTGAAGTTCTTCAGTTTCCTCAGATCCCACAGTTTCAGAGAGCTATCCTGGGCACCTGGAGCACATCACCGACATGTTAAACACACACAATGTACAGTTTCAGATCCCTTCAGTGAAGTGGGACAGGGAATGTTTTGATATTCCTGCAACTTTAGAGCCCAGTGCAGAACATCGACATATCAAAGATTAGTAGAAATATTGTGTAAAAATGCTGTCAGCAATACTAACCCGTGGCCAGATAGTATCCGTTCTCTGAGAAAGCGATAGAGGTGACAGGTCCAGAGTGGCCAGGGAAGTTGGCCACGTTGGTGCGCTCCTTCAGATCCCAAATCTTGATTTGGGAGTCGGCCGTACCAGTGCCAAAAATGAGACCATCAGGGTGGAACTGAGCACAAGTGAGAGCTGAAGGGCAAAAATGGAATCATTACCACCTGGAAGAGCACTTTTATTCTGACTGTCAAATACATGAGTGAGTGTAGAAGCACTTACCACAGCCAGCACTTTCATCAGTAACTTTGGTGAGGACTCTACCAGTCTGGATATCAGAGAAAGCCCAGTACTGCAGAACAAAACAACTTGTTAGTATGGTGAAGCAGTTTGACAGTTGAAAGACTGTTTATACTGCAGTCAGTCAGTAATGAATTTCTTCCAGCTGCACACACACACCTGATCCTCAGAGGAGCTGAGCAGATAGTCTCCAGTAGCATGAAGAGACAGACCGGTGACACCTGCCTCGTGGGCGCGCACCACCTGCACACAGTTGCCACCGGTGACAGACCACACTCGGATGGTGGTGTCTGGAGATGCTGAGAAGACCACAGACTGGAGGAGAAAGTGAGGAAGTAAAAATCGGGAAAAGCAATCAATGGATTATAATAACTACCATGTTTGGCATTTCTACTAATATAATAAACTCTTGTTACAAGGGATTTAGATATCATGGAAGATTTTGTTTCTGGTTGATGTATACAACAGACAGAGAAAGTTTTACCTGAGATGGATGGTAAATGACAGAGGTGACTTTCTTGGTGTGACCCTTAAGTGTTGCCACAATCTGCTCCTCGTTCTTGTCAAACACCACTACGTTCTTATCAGCTCCACCTGGGAGAACGCAAGAGGGTCGATGTCTCATAAAAGACTCTTCATATGATGTCTATCATGCTAACAAATCAAATATGGAAAAAAAGATGCATTCAATGTACCTGTGAGCACTTTGTTGGTGTCTGAGGGACACAGATCCAGAGCCAAAATACCAGGCACGCTGGCACTATGAAGACCCTGAAAGCAACAGTAGACAAAATGTTTATAAAATGCTCATCAAAAGACTTGCAGAAACATTTGCATTTCCCTGATTATGCAGAACCAACACTTACAGCGTGGGAGGCCACTTGGCGGTATTTGCTGAGATCCTCAGCTCTAACCAGCTCCTCTGGGACAGTTTTTCCTCTCTGAAGAAATACAGCAAAGCCAGTTAATAAATGGAGCATGGGAGAAAATTCCAAATTATTATAAAGGTAACAGACCTGTGGGAGAATAAGCATGGGGATATTACAGCACAAGTGAAACTAAATAAAGGAAAAATATAATACCTTCTTTCTCTCTGTAGTGAGGATAGTAGCCTTGTCTTGGAGCTGTAAACAGAAACACAGAATACTGAATCTTAGACAAGCTCAAGAAAATCACATTTCGCAGCCAAAATAATGATTCATGTGTGTCAAAGAAAACCTTACCTTCTGGATGATCTCTGGGGTCATTCCCACTTGTTCACTAATCTCCATAGGCTCTCCACCAGCACCCTGAAATACAGAAGACCGAATCAGAGATTGTTAGAAAAAAATACTTCAAAAGGTGATGTAAGTATTTTTGATCAGTGTCCTAGCAGCTTGAATTAAAAGTCAGTGACTCACTGCTGCAGTTGGCTGAGAGGCAGGAACTGCCTGAGGAGCAACCAGTCCAGCTTGGGGTTTAAGTGTGGCAAGGGCTATAAAAAGGAAAAAGACCACATGAGAAAAAACTGTAACCATACTATTGATGAGCTTATGTTGATGTGAAGCAAACAATTTATATGACTACTTCACAACTAAAATGATGTCCTTCAATCAAAGGCAAAAGAAAAAACTGCTGTCAACCCACCTTCTCTTGCAGCAGTGACCTCTTTGGTGAGTCGAGCAATGACTCTGCAGGCGGCATCATGTTGGTAGAGGGCATGTGAAAGTTCCTGACGAGTGGTCTGCAGCTGCTGCCGCAAGGTGAAACTGTGGAGCATAACAGCATCCTAGAACACAAGAGAAAACAGGATCATTAACTCCTCTAATGGTTTAAAATGTGTATTTAAGAAGAAAAACGCAAAGTAAAAAGCGAAAAAAAAAGTCAAACTGCCAACTTGGTTCACTATTGTGGCTTTCCAGTTTAACTAAATGCTTATGCTCAGTTACTTTCTGTATGTTAATTTCCCATTTTTTGTGATGTCAGGCAACTTTGACTGCCAGTATAAGCAGCATCTAATAAAATGTATTATTAATACTAAGAGTAGTACCAGAGAAAAGAATCTGTTATTTCAAAGCACAGACTTTGGGAAACATTTACAGTATGAAGGTGGTGTTGTGAGTTTCTTCTGTGCCAACTCCTCAGGGTCTACGATACTTACCCACTCATCTTGAAGTGACTTGAGAATGGCTGGGATACTCGTTGCTGATGGAGCCTTTGGTCTAATAGGATGGGACACTAAAACAGAGAAAAAAAGTTGTTTATTGTAGAGTTCATGAGAGTTAATGAAGAAAAATAATCAACAAATTAATCGACAAAAATAAATATTAGTTGCAGTCCTACTTTTCCTGAAGGTTGTACTGCTCAGCTTTATTGAAACTGTTTATTAAAGGCATTGGTTCACTTCTGTATTGCACTTGACTCTTTTCCATTTCTCGAGAACAATAAATCAATCGATAATGACTTAAACTAGTCTTTCTGAATCCCTACCACTGTACATATTGTATATTACATATATGTTAATAGATTCATTCCAGTAAAGGTTCCTCTCTGCTTCATTGCACAATCATCCACCAGCCACATGCATTCAGCATCAATAATCCTATGTTTATAGTCATTATCTGTATTTATTTGTGCAAGTAGAACCTGCACAACTTGCACTGAACTTTTGGTTTGAGTTATTCGTTTAACAGTCATTTCTTTTACTTTAACCTGTAGCCCTTATCTATATGCATGTCTTAGTGCAAGTACTTTGAGAGCAAAGGAAGAAACGGAGTCACATTCCTTGTCTGTGGTCACACACTGATCCTGATTCCCAGTACACACTATGCAAACTTCAGCTTCCTGAGTCAACACCTCAGTTTCAACAAAAACTGACTGTTCTAACCTTGAAGAGGATTAGTTACAGAGTCGCTGTATTAAACTGCTTTAACTGGGTGCAGCATCTCCTGAAAGTCTGCCTGAGAGTTCACCTTTGATATCTACGAGCTGCTCCTCGGACAGCGGCTGTCCGTTCATCGGGTCTGTTCCATTCTCTGCGATGTACTTCTCGATCAGCCTGCGCTCAAACACCTGGTTGGACACCGGGGACACGCACGGGTGCTCCGGCACCTCGTTGGAGACTGAAAAAAAGTGCAGGAACAGCTTTTAAATCACACGATACCAATAATAATATAATCACAAACAAGACTGGTGAAATATCTCAAGTGGAAGGCGGTAATGCATGGCCGCTAACGTTAGCTAAATTAGCTAGTAGCATTAGCACGGTGCCTAGCTAACCTCCGTCATATCAATGAAGTCAGCTTCACTTACTTGCACAAACCAAAGACATCTTCCCGACGCAGTCCGAATAGTTTCTTCTTTACAATGAATTATGCTCGCTCTGTGCTTGACAGTTAATAACGCTAAAGTGTACACTTTACTTATGTTTTGCTCGAATTGGAAGTAACACGCTGTCCTTTCATTGCCGCTACAAACGGAGCTTCTTCTTCTTCTACGCTTGAATTTAGAGTTAAAGTTCAGACCTCCGGGTCTCTGCACTGCCCCCTACCGCCGGTGACAAAAAGTGACTGTGAGCTTCCTGTTACAGCTGTATCTGTGCATCTTTTATATAAAACTACATAAATATATACAACAGCTTCTTTTATCTGGTCCTAAAGTGCAAATACACAAAGCTTTATTTCCTCTGTAATAGCAAAATAAAACTATGTTTCTTGTAACCGATTGATTGTTACCAAAGAAATGTTTGCACTTCATAGTGTAATCCTTACAGTCAATACTGGTATCGGCTCTATGTGTTTGGTATATTTGATGTCCAGGTTTAGCCTGTAGTTACTATGATTTATGGCTCATCTAAATACATCTAAAATAAAGAAATGATATTTTTTACCCTACAGGTTTAATCTGTAAAAAAAATAACACCCATGAATGAAGTCAAGACAATTTCATGCACTAATAACACTTCAGTGGCAATTCAAGGACTGCAATCAATTTGTTGTAGGTAGAAAACTGCATCATATGAGTTGAATTAGTCCTTTAGAGTTATTTCAGTCAGTCAAAACAGCTGGCTTGGTTATAATCCAGGGAACAGAGCAGGTAGAATAACACAGAGGCATAAGCATAAATGATAACACAGACAGCAGCTACTTTTCTTGGCAGACCCTGATCTAAAACACATCACTGTGCTCCTGAAAATGATGACTACGGTCATCAGTCATGAAGACGACACTAGATGAGTCATCATCCTATAGAGGTTCTGCCGTAGGTTCATAAACAGCCAAAGAAATCACCAACCAGTTCATGTAGGACAGAATTAGGACGTTATCCATTACTTAACTCTGGTGCACCTAAGACACACTGAGATATCAGGCACTACACACCCAAGAGCTGAATGCCTAAAAAAAGTCCCTTCTGTCAGCTGATCTTGAGACAGTCTGTTCAGAAAAACAACCTCAGACCATCACTGCTCTCCAACCACAGTCAAGCAAATTATGTTAAGAAAAGATGTTCATCAAAAACACTGGAGGAATAAAACAAACAAAACAAAAAAAAGAATTACTAAATAGCCCTAAGTCATGAATACAAATTTGCAGAATATCTCATGACTGTCAGAGATGTAAAGCAGAGACAGATTCTGACCAAATACGGACTCAGTGACAACAGAGAAAGAACTACATGGGAAGTCGTGGCTGCTGACAGAGGAAAGATTCTGGTCACTGCATGACGGGGGAGGTAGAGACAGAGATGTACATCCTCGTAACATATGACAAATTCAGGAATACAAGTCAGGAATACTTCAAAAAGATTGATTCTTACTCCCAAACCTAACAGAACAAGATGAGAAGAAAAAGCAACAGATTCTATCAGGAGGGACATATTATTAAAACATCATTGAATATGGCCATTATCTTGACACAGCATATTATACATTTGGCACACACACATCATATATTTACAGTCTTTTCTTCTTCTTCTTTTTTTTTTTTGCCGTTCTCATTCTTTTTTATTATATAAATATTTTTTCATTCCCCTAAATAAACTCTTTTAAAATTACATTTTTTAAAAATCTTCTCACCCTATTTTTTTCTTATTTGAATTACACCATCCTTGATGCCTTGATGGCATTGTTAACCGGATATTCATTCCAGTAAAGCATATTGCATATGAATCATATGAAATGTGTGTGTAGAATTACTTTAAAATAAAAATGTAGAAATACATATTGCAAAAAAAAAAGAACAATCTGTGGGGTTTGAACTGTCTCTTTATATTGTCACCTTTCCCTGACATTCATATACTTTATCGTCACTTCATACCAAATGTACAATGTAGACATGTGTAGTATATGGGAGGGATCGTCTAAGATCTGTGTGTGTTAAAGAGAAGTTTTATTGTTTAAGAGATGACATTTTGATATTGCAAAAACTACCATGAGCAGCATTCCAACATTTTTGCTGACGGAAAGATTTGGTGAAAAGATGCTATCCTTTACACAAAGTTTACAGATTAACAGGCTATTGCATTATTTAGTGAAACGTAACTATTACTAACCTCGAAGGTAAATACACAAGATCTGCAAAAAATTATTAATCTGCAGAACAGACATGTAACATGATACTGTAGCGGTTAGGAATGGTCAGCAAGACGGGCGAGTACTTCAGTTAAGTCTATATTGCTGTACAGTACGTAAAAATTCTCTTTTGCAAACTTTAGTACCACAACTCTAATTTCTACGTAGCCCTAGAGATCATAGTACACACACTGAAAAAAAACACACTGACAGTCAGCAAATACAGTGCAGATCATGTTGGTCCTGAGGGTCTGGAGGTAGGTAACAGCAGGAGATTTCAGGAGCACCATCAGCCAGCAGAATATCACACAGGAAGGTTAATGCTCAACTCATGCTTCAGAAAAATTACACAAAAGTATCACAAGTTATTTTCGTACCAAACCGTTAAAACTGTGCAAAAGGCACAGGTGAGGTCTTTCTTTTCTCGATTTCTCCATGCCTTATGCTTCGTCTTCCCTTGTTTAAGCCCCAGTTCTCCTTTTTATAAGAAGTTCAGCTTCTTTGATGTGTAAACGCTGCAGGATTCAGACGTGTCCGTGTCCAGTGGCAGTGTGGAAAAGAATTCTTGTGTTTTGCTCCACCTTTCCTCATCTCCGTCTTTCACGATCTGGAACTGAACACAGTCCTCGGAGGAGTGGAGGCAGTCTGAAGCCCCAGGTACAGAAAAGGAAATCCTCCTCTCGTCCTCATTTGATTGAGCCCGCTAGAAAGGAAACAAAGACACACGTTTCAAACATACTTTAATCTGTGATATGCAAATACTCACAGCTAGAGTGTAGTAGCTGTCGTATTACCTCAGCGGCTAAATTATGACTAGGAGAGCTCTCTGCTGTCAATATGTGCACTTCTTGGTTCTCCGCTCTTGGACTTTCCGCCCTAACAGGAGAGTAACCCTGGAAATACAATCAAAAGCAAAGACATATGATTACATTTCTTAGTTTTAACTTTGTTGTGACTCATTTGATTCATTTAATCAGCCTTACAGTGTGAGCAGGGCTCGCTCTTGGGGTCCATTTTCTTGGTGTTCCAGGCTGCTGAGGGGGAGTGTAGTAGCCTGAGGGCTGATGATACGACTGACTGTAGTCCTGCAAAGACAAACATGGACAGTCAAAGTTAATCCAAGGGACAAAAACAAGACCAAAACAACTGGCTGCATTTACAAATCATGCAGATTGCTATACATGTCTTTTTCTTCGGACACCTCAACTGGTCCATGGCATTACTTTTCAATCACACTTTCATCACATATTCAGATCCATAAAATTAGAGTCAGAGATTCCAGATTAGGTGATTGGATCATCCTTAAGTATTGATAGGTGGAATCTGCCCTAGTCAAACCTCTGCTGTCCTCTTTGCTATTCAAGTGTGAGGTGTCATCATGCCCGTAAGTAGCACACTAAGGCCTTCAAAATGAAAAAAAAAAAAAACACAAAAAGATTGTGGATGCCTATAAGGGTCCAAAATCTCATCGCAAAACCACATAGAATTATACTGATATCTGGTGCTAAACCGTCATTATAAATAGGCAGAGTTACTGTCAGAGACGTAAAGCAGAGACAGATTCTGACCGGAATCACTGACCACAGTTGAGCAACAACAAAAGAATGATAGAAGAAGAAGTTTTGGAATCCAACAGAGGAAAGAATCTGTGGTCGCCACATAACATGTGAAGTAGAGACAGAGATGTACATCCTCTTAAACATAACAAATACAATCGAGACAGGAATATTGGAAAAAGTTGGATTCATTAATACCAAATATTGCAAAGGATTTAAAAAGATCTCCACATTATTTAAGCTACATCATTCCTATAAGTGGCAGAGACTACAAACCAGGCTATTTGATGGAAAAAGAAAAAAAAAAAGCCTCCAAAACCTTCAAGAACCAAGAAATTCCATCTCAGGATCTGCAGGCTTTTAGAACTGTTGGTGTCAAAATACATGTGTCTATATTCAGAAAGAGACCACAGAAATTTGACCTGCATGGGAGGTGTGCCAGGAAAAAAAGTTTTGTTGTCTCCAAAGAACACAAGAGCACAGTTTGCCAGTGAATATACCGGCAAAGGATTAGGCCTTTTACAGTGAGTTTGTCTGGACAGATGAATCTAAGATACAGTTTTTTGGCCACAGCACAGAACAAATATATCTCATGGTTTGGGGTCGGAAACTGGGCAGCTTGTAGTCATTGATTAATCTATGAATTCTATATCATATTAGAATGCTTGAAGATAATGTGAGGTCATCTGTCTGAAAGTCAGTCATAATGGTCCTAAGCTCACTTAAACAAATTCACCAAAGAATGGCTCAAAAAGAAGAAATGTAGGGTTGAGGAAAGGCCTCCTCAAAGTCCAGATTTGAATAACATTAAAAAGTTTTTTGGGGGTTTGAAATACAAATGGGATTTCGTGCATTAAAAACCCCCTCAAAAATCTTGCAAATTAAGTAATCGTGCATGGAAGAGGCAAAAAAAAAAAAAAGCATCCATCTGATGAAACACAAGAAATCATTCTGTTATTTCTAATGAGTTACTTTTCCACAAAAGTCATACAGCTATTGACCTTTTTTGATTAATAAATGGCTGAGAAATTCATTTTCCACGTGGTGCAGGATATCACCTTTATCTGTAGGAACTGTTTCAAGGAGGATCAAATGTTTGCTTGTCCAAATAAAAAGCCAACCATTTCAATGATTTTTTCATATGACTGCATATAGAAAATCACAGCAAAATGTAGTTTAGCTTTCTAACCAGCACAAAGGGATGCAACAGTGTACATACATATAATAATAATAATAACAACGCATGCAGCCATGGTGTGTCAGCAGTGTAACTATGACAATCAACAACAAACAGTAGTATTAAATTATGCGATTTCTCATGGTTTCCTCACCTGTATGTTAACTCGTGGGGGGTTGGCTGGTGGCG